TCTTAAGCTGTGACCCATTACCGTTAAAGGGATTGTAAAGAGGATTTCTAAATTGTGCATGTGTATCGGGGACAATGATAGCATGAATTGTTCGAAAATTCTACCAAAACTAAGTGTTTTATGACGTCATTCCCGCAAATGCCTTATGTCAATGTCCTCGATACCCATAAAGTTAAGAAAACCTCTTTACAATCCCTTTAACTTTATCATAAAGTTATATTGCTAATAATTTTCTGTGTTCCTTGTCGCCACCTTATTTGTGTGTTAATCCATAAAGCATAAACACCAATTCAACATAACCTCTCATCTCTAATTTACGTTTTACGAACGATTTTTATAGTATTTAGCTTCTGACATTTTGCGGTCCATAAATGTTGTTAATAATCTACTAGCTGGTAGAGTGGTGATATCATAAGGTCATCATTTTAATAACACAACAATCAAATATTCATACCTTTATCTCGCTAGATAATTACTTGATGCAGTATATTGCCGGTAATCTATAAATACATCTCTACATACACTGGTTACCCTTTCTTCTGAATCCTTTTAAATTCTCAAGTATAAGTAGTACATCACGGAAGCAATATGGTTTAGTTCTAAGGCCGGTGCTTCTCAAGTAGAGAGTCTTCTATAACCCACTATATTTCTTATTTTGATACATTGATTACCAGCTTCGTTCACAGTTGCGGTACAATTCTATAACAAAGTGGGGCATTTAGAATAAAACTGTTAGACGATTATTCTCACATGGGGTGTTGCTGGTAATTGCATGATGACACTTATTAAAGTATTATCATGCTGTTTATATAACAAACTACGTAATAAAACAGAAGTAACCCTGGAAAACTCCAGACAGCCGCAAGTGCGTTACACTGGACTTACGTATTGCCTTCACACCAGTGGAGAAACAGTCGTTAGTAAATTTAAAGATAGGGGGCAGCAACAGTATATTAAGTAAGTTTGTCATTACAGTTTATTCAGGACAATTCTCAAAATACCCAAAACAGGTAGACTTGAGTGTATTTACACCAAGGCAATTGCAGAGGGTATCAGATTATGTCATTGAAATGTAAGATTTTTTGTGTTGTAGCAGAGAACAATATATTGAAGGCAATGTAGCGCATGTGGTTTTCCAGAAAGATACAATTAATCTCTGATTTTAAGCATGTACCCTATTTTTAATTTTCCAAGTAGCTTTTCGCATGTCACTAACATAATAAACGTCTCTTGAGAAGATCTTTGTTCTACAGAACAAGTCAGGCTAGAAGCCACAGGACAGCAATGAAAAATGGATTTCTCCCTGAAAAAAAAATATGTCACCGACCAATTCCATTACTGCAGAACTTAACTAGCTAGTACATCTGGAAGGAGATATTATTATTCATGGCATATTCACCAATTATCACAACCTATTCTGTCGCCTATCTCTCCAAAATGTATCTCAAGGACATTTTTGTAACTAAATCGATTTTAAATTTAACATAACAGAGGCCTTATTATCCTTATTATATCAGGTGTCATAACTAAAGAATATGACCTCTATTATCTATAATTGTTGAAAGATAGCTTGCCAGGCTAGGTAGCATACGTCAACTGCGAGCTGTCAGAAATAAGAGCAGTCTTTGGTCACTTAAATATGAATTTTATTATTTTAAAGATCTTAATAATACATTGTAGTTATTTATTATATTTCTTCCTTTATTTTAAATCAATAGCGATAACCCAAAAGCCCTTCTTATCAATTCAAACTCATTAAAATCAATTGAAAACTGTAGTCTCTATTGTGTTTAGTTCGGTGTTCAGTATAAGTTTTTCCTAAGTCAAGGGCAATAACTCAAAACTTGTTCATCGAGGTATCATCTTATTCGAACTTGAATGAGATCTCATGAACATAAATCATCACTCAAAATTCAAATCGGGTGAAAACTGTCGTGTCTATGAGCTCACAAACCCATTTTGATGATTGAAATTTTCATGTGGGTGTATACAAACGTTTCTAACGCTTTAAGTGAAGTTTTCGGGAAGAAGGTCCAGGTTGAAAACACAGAGTCGCTAGTCCCTAGACAGACCATACTCAACCGTGTTACCATGTTGTACGCCTGATATCAGAACTTAGTCATGAACTCAACTACTTTCTTGAAGTTCTTCCCATCCCCGTCGAGACAAAGCTAGTATCAAATTTCTGAGATAATTTTGTGGTTTCAAACAAGACCGTGGCTTACGTTCTTTCATTTGAAACCAGCTAAATATAATCTAGTTCCGATTGAGGGCGGATTAATCTTTATTAAATACAAGGCTTGGGATTACACTGTATAATAGGAACTATATTTAGACGCGGATATAGACGTTTTTATCAATCCTATGAATATAAAACTGGAAATAGCAAGTAGAGTCTGAAAATGGCCAGAAATTAAACGTCAGACGCAATAAAATTAGGAAAAATATAAGAAAATAAAGCGAGAATTAACAAATCCGATGACAAATTGTTCCATTAACAATAGACATAGACAACATTAACACCTGATCAAAAGTCATGCCAATGCCATTGAAAACTTCAGAAAACAGATTAATAACACTGACATCAAATTGACATATGGATGTCAATATGAGGACTTTTCAGGGCTTTAGGCTGTAACATAGGGTGAGTTCGATCGGAGCCCGGGTTAGACTAGAGTCATTCGAGTCACAACCCAACTGTAATATTTTGTAGAGTTGGGACTCGTGTGACGTAATATTGGACCTAGTTAGAAGCTCGGTTCCGACACTCACTATTTGGAGAGTCAAACACGAGTTAACATCGTGGCATGGAATATCTATATATGGTCAAAAGTCCCGCGATATTGCCTTAACTCGATCAAATTCGATTGCGACCCTCACTCGGATTGCTCGCTGAAGATAATTACGTCAATTCTCCATCAACTCTAACTCGATCACGGGGGTTCAATCGAAGTCACCCATAATGGATAAGGATTTGAGCATGAATGTAAATGAATCGGAGTTTTACGTCCTACTTCACTGTATGTTGACTAGTGGCCATCCTCGGAATCAATAACAATTATATTGTAGTGGGTAGGAAATAGAATTAAAAGTTACATAAAGTAAATTATTTAGGACTTGAAGGACCCAAACAGTGAAAAATCGAAAGTTGAACACTCTTACTGGTTTCGTTTATAGATTGTAACTAACTTTGTGTACTTTTTAACTCGCATTTAGTCGTGATTCGACACTTGGACTTACAAATTTAGAATTCTCCACTGGCTTAATGTATTCTACAAACATTTTGTAAATGCTTGACAGAAACCAAGACGATAAGAGCTAATCCTCCCACACTGACGAACGATGGTGCGTTTGGTTGATGATTACAAGGGGCTGTGAGTAAGTTTCGACATTTTACCCCAGTCGTGAGTATAGGTAAATACAAGAGGCAGCGGCATCACGAACACTGTGAAGACATCGAAGACATGTTGGCAATCCTATCAACTATACGCTTATTCCACAAAACCCCACTTACTGTACCTGCATCATTGAAAAAGGTAACTGGGTGAACATACCCAAATGACTTGAACTGGACTTAACTCCAGCACTCCCCCCCAGCGCACAAATCAGGCGAGTAACATTTTAATCAGAATTATTGTCAGGAATCTGAAAGAATAATCATTGTGTTGTGGATGAAAAGATATATAATTATATTGGAAATAATGGACAATATTTCCAGATACTGACCTTTCCATTGGCTAATGATATTATTTGGCGGGAATCAGTAGTGTATTATTTGGCGTAGAGTATTGAAGACCTGTTAATATGACATGAATGGTGACGATTGTTAATTGACATTTGAGATAAATGTCTAAATGGTGACAGATAAAGGCACACGAACAACTAATACAACATGACATTTTCTTACTAAGACATAGAACTGATGTATCGCGAATTAAAAGTGTGAAATTGCGAAATGAAATGAAATAATACGTCCCAATTTTGTGCACATAATTGCAGTACTGAATAAGGTGTTAATGTAGCTTTAATGTCATCTTTACACTGTCAAAGTATAATAAACAGGAACTTTTCTTGTATCACAGAAGTTGGCCTAAGCCCGAAAGCGAATACAGCCAATCTGGGCCCGCAACAGTGACTACAAGTCTGCGATGTGAATTAATGTTTTGATTTACAGACAAACAATGACTTATTGTATATAAAATATAATAGAAATGAAATGAAATGCATTAAGGTGCATTAGCACCAAAACTTGTTATATAGCACCTGAATACGATAAAAAAAAAATACTATGAAAAGTCTCTCATAAAGAGATGGCTGCGCAAATAGCTGAAACTAAGATCTACCACGGTATTACTGTGATCGCAGAGTTTTGAGATGCATGCTTGCTCGCAATCAGAATGTGTTTCACTGTCAGGCGAAAAAAATAATATAAAATAACAGGTGTCTTATTATGTCAAGGTAATATACGGAGTAATACCTTGGCATTGTGAAGATGATTTATTGATAAATGAATTTATAAACGTTAGTTTAAAATAGGAATTTGCGATAGCTTTGACATAACATCCTTTTGTACACAGATTTATCAATTTTTGTTAATATTTTAATAACTTGAGTGATCCTTGTTATATCATAACTTCATTTGTTTAAAACATTTACAAAAACAGTGTATATTCCAATTTCTTTCTCTAATCTAACATTCTGTTTTATTTCTGCTTTAATGGGACAGCAAATAGGCTTTGCTATTTCAATCTCCTTGATAAAGGAACAAAGATAAGTATTGTTTCGTCTTGGATAAAAAGAGCCTTTCCCGAAAACTACAGCAGCGTTTTAAACGTAATACCAACTTGAGCTCAAAATGAATAAATATGTTTCTGAAACTATGCGATTGTTATTGGTCTTTCATGAAACCATGACTAACGAAAAGGAGTTGCATATGACTGGCTTTTAAACCAAACTTATACTCGAGTTGACAGTGATATTCTTGTAAAAATATTACTAATATGAGATATCAGAAAGATATCAGTAAGATGTCAGTTCAAGTAAGCGTGTTCCGAATGTGGTTTATAAAAACAAATAATGAAATTGTTACATTATTGTTGTTCTTCATAGAGATAGCACCTTTCTCGTCTACTTTTGATATTTGTTTTTTTCGCTTGGTAAAGGGATTATCCTCGAAACGTATCGAATTTTTACCTACTGTTTGTACGTAATCGTGGGATTTATTTTTTCCTAATGAAATTGTTTCAAGAAGCCTGTAACTTGAAAGAAACCCCATCACACTGTTGAATCAAAGAAGTTATTCCTAGTATGGTATTTACTTTAGATTGTCTTTGTATGGATTCATTGCTTAGTGCCACTGTTAACCAGAGACATTGTGGTTAGGTTATCAAGTAAATGGCTCCAGAATGTCTTTCAGAATCAGGAAATCACTGTATAGACTTCAATCAGAAGTAGCTTACAGTGATGATATATCCTTACCTTTAATTTTCAGCATTATTGACCTAGCTAGAAATACGTTTACTGCCCGAATACGGGTCGTGGGTTTAACCACCGTAACTTATCTTCAATAGGTTTCCCTCTATCCTTGATGAAGTTCAGTGAAACATGTTCTTTAAAGTTCACAACATCCAGAAACCATCGGGTTGCATAATGTTGAATTGTTATGTCAGTCACACTCTTGTCTTGATCACAGTTTTGAATATTTCATCAGCGCTGGATATACCAGCAGTCATCAGAGAATACTCCAAGTGCTCCAGTTACTGAAAGTTATATACAAGGAATTTAATTATTTAACAAGAGCATGATCTTCATAAGATTTTAATACATTGTCGAGAGCGTTGATGCCTGAAAGAATTCCCCAACGCGGCCAAAAATAACATATGACTGGCAGATAGTGGACTGATTTAGGCACAATGACAGTATTATATAATCAGAATGCACCACATGCACACAATAGTGTCAGACTTTCAATTCCGCATTTATATGGTTTGATTCAGATCCAGATGTGTGTTAGAAGCTTGCACGCTAACCTGAAGGTCCAGGATTCAATCCCGATATAAGTCAAGATAATACCTTCGGATATTCCAACCCGGTATCCCCCTATTGGTGATGCAAGTAAGATGTGTTTGAAAAGGCGTCTAGTTAATTGGATGGGACAAAAAAAAACATTAAAAAAAGATCCCTAGATAGTTGGAAATCGAAAAAGAGCAGGCTTATTTCTCTGTCCTAGCAAAATTTTCCTCATTGCACACTGCACGGCGTTGCCCGTTTGGTGCAGTAGGGCGTAAAATTCCATTTATTTCATTTCAGAGGCGCATGTGCAAAATATCTTTGCTCGATTATAATCTAAATATTTATCCTATAATATATTTCAGATGACGATGTTAGCCAACAACATATACCTACTCCTCCTTGTCTTTCAATTCTCACTACTAGCAGCTCTACCCTTCCACCAATTACTAATACATAAAAAACGAGACAGTGAACCCATTTCTAGGTTATTTGAAGAAATAGAAAATTCCAACAATCCAGTGGAATCGGTCACACATCCAAGAGAACAGCAGGGTGAACAGATGCCAGAAAGGGCTCAGGTTCGTACTATAACCGATTTCCTATTTTCACAGCTTAGGGTTGAATATGAAATGAAATGCTTTAAGGAGTATCAGAATCAGAACGGGCTATATAGCAACTTCACACGATAAAAATAAGGAGTAAATAACTGAAGTCGCAGCATATAAATCTTTGAGGAACAGGTTCGCCATTTTTAGGAGTGGATTTGGGTCTTGAATATATACGTAAATAGTCTTCAAAAGTACTAAAAATGTACTCATAATTCCTTCAAAAAATATCTCAAATTAGGAATTTAACATTCTATTTCTATATACGTCTTTTCCAAATGTGGCAGAATCTCAAACGCGGATAACTCTGGACACACATGGATTTGAATGTTCAACTTTCGACGGTGAGCTGTGAACACTATTACTGATTAGCCCTGCAAAAACATTCCCGTTTGTGAGACTAAGGTATGATTGGTCAAAAATATGGCCAACCTGTCACCTTAATTAATGCATTCATTTCAATTTGTTGATTGAATGTAGACGCTTTACTTACTGAAACGTAATGGAAAGAAAACTTTCTTCTTTCCTGTACTGAAATGCAGAGGTGGATGTTTCATAAAATTTTATTGGTGTGTCTTTGCACGCAATCTGTTTTAGGTTAAGTTCTTATACAGGTCATTATCAATGCTTTACTTATTTTTTCAGCCCTGTATATCTATACATTACCTCATGGGTAAGTACCCTAGATTGATCGATCCTTCATAAATTATTTCCATGAATTGTCATATCCATTGCGTTTCGAAGTTATTATTGACTTCTTGCTCAAACACAGACAATCTCGTCTTTAGAAGGTTTAAATACACAATGTAGGTTGGGAAATAATTCTGATCAAACGCCTGTGTTAACGTGCGGTAATCTCTAATCTCTAAGACAACAGATGCCACTGATGTCTTGTCAAGCCCCAAGTACAATTTGATAATGTGTTCCTATTCAAAACGGAACCGGAAGCCGGATCACCGCGTATTTCGCCCGGTCATTTGTCTTGCCATAACGATAACACGATCAACGTTTATTCCATATATTTACATTGGTTTATCTTTTCTGATAAAATACGCCAACTCTAGGTAAAAACTTGGGTCAATCATTGTTTTCGTTTTCGATGTATTCATACGCCTTATTGTCACGTGACAAATTACAGTTATTGGAAAATAAACGCCGGTTTGGCTAATTGATTTATTGAAGGGAGTGATAATAGAAATGTAAATATGTGCCTGAGGGAAACACGTCGAAACGTTGCATAAAACTTTAACCAGTGATTGTTGTTCCATAAAGCTGTGTCTATATTTTGATGTTCTATTGTTTGGCCGATCATAGAGTCTGGGAGAATTTAACTGACCACAACAAAGCGGCAAAGAATTCAACCAAAATATTGCCAGACCTTGAAGTCCTTCATTTGCATATTCCATTCAGTTGTACCTATATATAGTTGAGTCATCTACAAAACAAATCCTCCCCCGTCTCTTATCTAATTTCTTTCTCCGTATCGTAATCAGGTTGTTAACAACATATTTAAAAGTCAGTTGTATTTCACCCTTTTATATTCCATTTTCATTTCCTTTTCCTTTACTTTTCCATGAATATTCTTGTTTAATTATAGACGTGATCTATCCAGACACAATTAACCGTGTATTAATCATTGAGTCCAATATATCGAGACTCCAAATTACTGAATTAAAATTTAATGAATAACCTGATAATTACAGATCTGTATCAAAACAACTTAATTTGTCTCGTACCCTTTAGGATGCAAATGTCACATTGTCTGGTACGCTACTCAGAAAAATGCGTCATATATTAAGTAAGAAAAATCTTCTTAAACTTTGTTAAATCTTGAAATATGTTTTCTGACTACCTTTCTTGAACCTTTAAAAAATGATGCAAGAAACTAGATAAGACACCGTGGTTAATTTGTCTGAAAATCTTAATATGAGGCAGTACTTTTCACCGTACAGAGTTGTTTGTGTGTGTTCAATATTACAAAATGTAACAATGCTAAGTGCAAGTGTGTTGATTGGTCACGTGACATCATGAATATTTTTTTTTATCTTGGTCCAAAATACCAGATTTACCTGCTAAAAAACGTCGACGTGGTGAAGAGTAGTGCGTTAGGGTCGGACTTTATTCGGAATGTACATATTTTAAAAATATCAGAATTTGGCTTGGCATTACTGTAAAATAAACACAAAATACAATAAAAAAAAATGCCCAATATACTGCTAACCAAGCAATGATAAAACGTAATAAAAGTATTATTGAAAAGTTATTATTTGTTGATAATGAAATTACCAAGACATTCTTTGTCAAATATTACTTTATTTGAATTATTTCCATTTTCTCAATAATTTCATTTGCGAGGGCCATTATTAACTATTTTTGTTATTGACCATCATTGAGGTATCAATTCTATTTCAGTTGTAAATATAATGTACCCTTTTATGTGTATCGAGGACATGGGTTCATCATCTTGTATCATTGTCTATTTGTTTTTATTTTGTTTTAAAACACTACATATTCTAAGAATGACTATGCGTAGATACGGGACCATTATTCCATCTTCTAATTTTCGACCAACATTTGAGATATTTTCGGTTGACATTTTAGGAAATGAAATGTATTAAGGTGCATCAGCACCAAAACTAGCTATATAGCACCTGAATATGATAAAAAAAAGAAAACACAAGTCAAATGAAAACCAACAAAGTAACAACACAATAGATCAATACAGTGATGCAAGATATTAAAAACAATATCAGAGAAAAACACCACACAGTAGTGATATAAACAATAATAAAAACAATATCACAGTAGTATACCAGAAAATGGAATAAACGACAGTTCTGGTGGAAAGAAATTCTATACAATGAACACTTACGAAACTTTTATCACCGCAAAGTCATTCTAAGACTATCAGTACTGTTTTGAAACTGATTTTCCAATTCACATTAAAATAAACCGTAAAATTTTATTAACCGACAAACCAGTGCTATTTTAAAACTGGTAATCAAATTCACTATATAAAATAATCCCTCAAATTCGATTTACCGAAGAAAGTGAGAAGACATTAGTATGACCTTCAGAATATTTTACTATTTTCAGTTTTAAAAAATCAGTTCCAAAGTCGGATTGATCCTAACGACGACGGTAAAGCCACCTTTGATGAAATTAGGCAATTTCTTCGCCATTATCATAGTGACGTTAGTCCAGAGACGATCAATAAATTTATTGAACGTAGAGATTTGAACGGTAAGCTTGTTGGTCATGTTATTTATCTATTTATTTTAATAAATTTCAATAAACCTGTTGTTACGAAAATCACACAATGAAATTATGGTAGAAACCATATTTATATGCACAAATGATAAGTGAGGTATGGGATCAACCCTGGTTTCTGGACCTTAGTATTCGCGTTTATTTTCAATTTCCAATAATCCCACTTCCTACACTGCATCGAACATCGAACCTCGTCTATTTCCGACAACAATCCCTTTGAATCTGTTTTAGGGACAGTTTGAGGGTTTGAAACAGTTCTTTGCTTTATAAAACAAAAGATATGTTTCGTCTGTATTCACGCGCTGATTGTGGCAAGATGTTGGTTATTCTCAATGATGTTTAAATATTGATGTATAATCGTACAAATTGGTCATTTATTTGTAGGTAATGGTGTCATTGAGTTAATACCAGAATATATTTTAGATATTACCACCCCTGATTATACGCTAGGTGGCGCCAAAGAATGGTTTAATCTTGAAGATAGTAATGGCGACGGGAAGGTATCGAGGCAAGAACTAGAGACGATAGCCCAGAATGTTGGTATGTCAAGACAGGAGGCTGAGTTCACAGTAGATACCTATTATATGACGATGGATAGAGATGGTGACGATAGCCTGAGCTGGAATGGTAGGTAGAATATCTTTATCACAACACATGCATCAGTATTCGGATTGTAGCTCAACTGCTTTGAGCGTTGAAAACTTGCAACATGGATAAATAACGTCATGGGTTCGATTTCGTCTTTTGCCATATTCCCTGCATTTCCATTTACACGTACGGTGTTTGTATTTAATCTAACATACTCAGGGTATACAGAGAAGTATTTCTCACAAAGGTCACAACATGATTAACGATTTGACCTTCCATCAATGTCATTATTACTATGAAAACATTCTGGTGATGGCTGCAAGCGCTGGTATTTTATTTCACTTTTTCAACCTTTAAGGTCATTGTCTTAAAAAGGCTACATTGAAGTGACTCGAGGCTATCATTGTCTTGCAGTACGGGGGTCTATCCTCATTACCAAATAAAACCGTGGTATATTCCTCCTCGTTTTTCGCTATTGTAAGCGAAGTGTTTAAGTGGAGGAAGTGCACATTGGTCAATTCTTGCGACAGATACACCCACAAAGGATCCTGATTTCTGATCTTGGCATTTTAACGATTCGAAAACTATATGTTCCCACAATTTGAGGAATTGTTTTTAGAAGGAAAGTTTCAGATTTGAATTTGACCTCAATCCAAATTTGAATGTATGTAACAGTTAGTCAAATGCAGTAAAAGTGAAGGTTCCATGTGACGTTTCCTTCATTACTTTCCGCGGGCTTTCTTTTCAAAATAAACACACGATACTTATTTTGGTTTCACTATAATTATCACACACAAAAAAGCGCCCACGTTAAGGTCGTTAAGTTTGTAAACCAAGTATCACCAATGACCTCAGTTCTAGAAATAGTAGATAATTTGTCTGATAAATTTGACCTTAAGGCCCTCATCATCTAAAGATAAAAATTAATAGGGTGCTAAATTAATTGTAGGCTTCATTGTGGGATTGATTCATTAAAATAATGAAATTAAAACAGTGCTGCAAGCATTTTACAAGTAAATCATCACGTTGAACTTTACTTCCAAGATATTCGCAAGTCTTCAGAGTATAACTGGAAGCCATCGGAAAGTCATTAAAAAGAATATTTAATAAGTTCATGTCCTTTTGGTCAACATCTTGTAAATTGACATTCAAAGACTCTGACATTGACATAATATGCCTTTAAAAATCGTCCACACGTGTAATAGATGGACACATGTCAATTGAAAGTATGTTATCATATCCGTAGTCTGACAAATCTGCCGCAAACTATATATACTTAGGTCACATTTTATGGGAACTGCTCCGATTCATTCCAAGTTAAAAGTACGATTTCGCATAAATTGTGGTATCTATACAATGACGAACCATTATTGAGTCCATCAAGACATTGTCGGATATTCTTCAATGTCCCTTTGGACCACACGGTACCTAAATACAGTCGAGGTGTAAACTTAACGTTATACGACGAAGGGAAAATCCTATCAGAGTAGGGCCAGATTTATTGAGCTACAGGTGAGCGAGACTAGTTAAAGCGATCAACTGGATGGTCACAGATTCCAACTACTCAGATTGGCGACACATACGACTTTTGCTAGGACATGAGAAACTGAGGTGTTTTAGTCTCTGAATCACTACGATAAAAGCAGTTGTTAAACAACAATCTAATATCAATTCGATTTCCGACAATCGTTGACAAACTGACAAATTCGCAGTTACCGTCAGTTGCTTCTGTTTCAACTGTAATATTATTCTACATGTATTACCTATTATATTTCAGAATATCGAGCTCTATACAGCCCTTAATGTCTGGAAATCGGGAGTTCAACCAAGAGGAGAATTCTGGTGATAGTACTGTTATTTATATTGTTAAATACTTTGTAAACTAATCCGTCATATTTGAGGTTATTTAATTTATTTATTGAGGGTATTGTCTCAAGAAAACGCCATCTATGTATAGAGTTTGAATAATTATAAACGTTTGAGGCGCACTCTGTTGAGCATGTGGTTTTACTACACAATAATCAATGCAAGATAATGCTCACTACTACGTTTAAATTGCATTTCGGTCACGTGTGTCGCTCGATCGAAACATTTTGGTTTATATGTCCCATGCAACGTTTTTAACGAAACCGTCAAGTCTGCAATATAATTTACAGAAAAATAGCCTTTCGCTTTGTTTGTGAAAATTAGAAATTTGTATAGATCTATTGAAATTATATAATACTTATTGCGCCTGTGAAACGAACCAAGAGAATGAAGTGTCATCTACTGTTAGATTTCACTGAAGTAAAAATGTAGGTTGAATTAGGGTCACGACTGAATGCTCTTGAATTATCGCAATATTATGATTTATCAATTAAATCGGAACTTAAGTTATCAGAGACGTGTTTGTTTTATGTCGAAGCAGGATGAACTTAACAAGTTGAATTTTTGAAATATCTTATAATTGTTAACATAAAATTGTTCGCATTATTACTGTTGATTGTATGTTTTATTCAAATAAAAATGTCTCCAGACTTATTTCAATGATTTATTTGCTTCTGTTGAGGATTCCTCGTAGTCATACCAAATGCAACAGGAATTTGAACCGCTATTCTTACAACGGTTATAGACCTCATCAATATACTTATAAACCGTCAATTTATGGTTTAAGGGAGATAACTACTTATTTCTGCATCGTTTATGTTCGTAAAGCATAAGTGCAAATTTTGTTAATTGACTTTACGTCATTATTTAAATAAGGATTGTGAAGAAATTTGCTTTCTAGCGAACATTATGTGTATCGGGACATCGCAGATATAAGCACTATTTCTTTCGTTTCCTTTGTTTTGATCTTTGTTATCGCATAAATTGGCATACAATGAAGTTTGTTGTTCTTGTCACTACTCTTTGATGCACTTAGCTAACCTCAGTTTAAAATTGAATAAAATAGATGTAAATACGTAAACTATTATCGTGTCTTTTTTTCTTTGTCCCTGATAAGGTCGTTGCTCTCCAGAAGACTTCCAAAGAGTCGACGGTTAGTGTCTAATTATAATCATATACCCATTCACCGTCTCTTGTTTTAGTATGATCCAAACACAGAAAAAATTGAATGGAAAGCTAACACATTACGACAATAATAAATAAATAAGAACAATAAGGGGCATCAAAACACAATAAAAACTCAAAAACAACAAGTAAAACAAAACAATGTAAACATATACATTTAAAATTTGAAATACAAATTGGCATCTTTCAAATACGTGACAAACTACTCATAAAGATAAGGTTGTGCAAAAAGCTGAAACAAAGATCCAGCACGACAGTAATCACAGACTGATTGAGGCAAATAATTGGTAAGGTGAGTATGTCCAAGATGAGAGCGACACAAAACAACTTCATTTCTCCTGTTGGCACAATAGGAGGTTGACCGATCTCCTAAGAGTGGCTTGATGGCTTGAAGTTTGTGGTTACAGCATATCAGACTAACTATAAGGGAATTTTTAAACTGTTGAACTAGATCTGACTATAAATTACAAACACCAGGAAAACGGTAATCTTGATACTGATAATATTCTCTGGCGCTTAGTTTTGTATCAGCTGAGGCCCCACCATTCTGTGAGTTAGGAATGCCAACAACTCTTGATATCTTTTATTTTCTTCAATTGGTATGCGGTGACAAGACCATCACCTTTATCTTACTGGTCCCTGATCCGATCCCTCTGCACCTATTTCAAGTCTAATGTATCCACAACTCTGTTGTTATAATTAATCATTTCACTATTTTTGAATTGTGTTTTACTAGCAGATTAAAATGAGCCTTGCGCGTATTTCTGTATCGTTTTTCTTGTAATTTATTGTGATTATACGATTTAAATATATTGTTTTTTTAAAAAGATCATCAATAGAATCAGATTTTCTTTTAAAAAGTAGAACACATTTAAAAGAAAATATCACGAACATTCTTTTTTAAAATTTATGCGTGCCAAATCGTAATTGGTCACGCTTTGTTTTCGTTCTTCGTTTTTTCTTTCGGGAACGTCTTAAGCACAAACCGAAAATGGTGAAGTATTTCTGTTTGAACCAAAGATGTTTAAATCGACTGGAATAAAAACGAAGATCCAAAATAAAATTTTTGTTCGCCCGAAAGGTACATATTATGATGTATGCAAAAGGTTAGTTTGGAGGTTGAGAGGATATTTTTGGACCGATTTACCTCGCGTTTTCTTTTTTAAGTTCTTTGTAATAAGATGTTTGAACGCAATAGAAAAATCTTACCAGGCATCTCTCTCTGAAATGTACAGGATATAGACAGAATGTCAATACAAATATAACTGCCTCATCAAAATTTAAAATCACTTCCGGTTTTGGCGTTGGAACTTCCGGTTTCTCCGTATCACGATTGGTGACCCTGCTTCAGATGTAATACACATATGTAGACCCGAACCGTACAGATTATCAATGATAAATAATATGCATCACCTAAGAAGACAAAATTCAAACCCGAAGTGACGCATGTGCCGTTACCTGAGAGTGGCGTATTTCTGGTTTTATAGGCCATCAAAAACTGACATTTTTAATAAATATGGGGGCTTGATTTTCAAGATTCTTAATACAGGTTGTCTTTCAACAATAAACAAAAATATTACATTACTATATGCTTTAAATGATGCTAGCATTTTACAGAGGACATGTAATGAAGGATAGAATATGGAACTGTAAATAAAATATAATAATTAAAATATCAAAGGACGTGATAAATATATCATAATGGATACAATTGGAACAATCGATAAAATTTAGCTTTGGGTTAAAACCTTACAAGCTGTCTAACAAGAACAACGAGAGTGGCATCTGGAAACCTAACCCAAGCAAGATGAGATGATAGCAACCGAACTGAATTAAATGATTATAACTCTAACAAGGGTGAAGTAAAATAATAAGCAACTCTATTGGGTTAAGAAAACTTGGGATCAAATTGATTAAATAATAATAATCACAAAATATAAATGTATAAATGGAAAATGAAGAAACAAAATAATTGCTATGGTAAAATATCAAAGCAATTGGTTAAATCAAGAAGAAGAAAAAAACGGAAATTGGAGATTTGGAAATAATCACAAAGTCCAACAATTGAAATTTTATAAAATTACAAGAAATGACTAAGGAAATATTTCGATAGAAGATCAAACCAAAATGTTTTGGCTGAACTTACAGACATGTAACAAAGGATCAAATATTAAGGCCAAGACGACCATTGTGGATATATCAAAACTAATGTCAGATTAATTAAGAAATTAAGCTGACCAATGTGTATATTTCACTATTTTTATCAAAGAAGCCATACACTACAAATTGGAACAATCAATAAAGTCTAGCATCGGGCTAAACCGAACAGATTGCAGGTAATGAAGGCTACAACAGATAGCAGGTAATGAAGGCTACAACAGATTGCAGGTAATGAAGGCTACAACAGATTGCAGGTAATGAAGGCTACAACAGATAGCAGGTAATGAAGGCTACAACAGATTGCAGGTAATGAAGGATACAACATGGAACTTTAAAAATATAATAATAAAATAACAGAGGACGTGATAAAAATATAAATATTTCCCCCTTGTCCTTTTGACCCATGGTTTTATGGTCGTTTTCTTGATGATATTTTCAGGGTATGGACATACTAGATAGAGCAGTTTTAGGAATTCTTTGAAATTCTCAATAATCACCATCCACTACTGCCAACGTTAGTCACAAGAGCCTATGTTTTTTGTAGATATCACTGTTTCCAACGAATAAACGTGATATTAAGGTATATTTTATGGAAACTGATACTCATCAACTTCTACACCAGATGCCAGAGAAGCTGGATTCGGAAATCGAGGTATTAGATAAAACAGATACACCTGCATCTTTACCTGTTAACATTGCCCCCGTTCCAGCACTAACATCTCCACTGGACATTGAGTCTGCCATCAACAACCAAACGATGAGCCTTTAGATGATACACGAGATATAGATTATGAACCCTCAGAATCGGAAGCCGAAAGTTCTAAATCAGACGAAATTATAGAAACAGGGGAGAAACCAAAGCGAAAAGAAACAAAACAGCACAACGAGAAATATGGAAACTAAATATGTCAAAGGTTAAACGGCTGAAAGGAGAGCAAAATACAAGCAGACGAGGCATAGAGAATGAAGTCATGAAAATGGGACCTAGATGCGAATCAAACTTTTGTAGAAAATCATACTTGAGAAACTGTAATAAATTTTCTGGAGTAGACAGACAGACTTTTTGCATCATTTTGGGAAATGACATCATGGACTGAAAGATAGTCTGTTGTAAGGGCACTGGCAGCATCGATTGATATAAAACAGAAAAAAATCAGCTTCCAATAAGAGGGCTACCAGCTATCGATACACTCTAAGGATGCAAAATGGGACCATACTTCAGGTATGTAAATCAATGTTCTGTCCGACTTTGGATATTGCTGAAAGAACAATATCAGATTGGTTAAGTCTAAAAGTTAAAGATGGTTCCAATGATGTACATGATGTTGCTGATATACCATGTAAGGAGAAAACAAGATCAGGACCTACTCAGAAAATGTCTAATGATATTGTTTATTATCTTAAGAAATGGCTTATCAATATTCCGTGCGTTGATTCCCACTACTGTCGTAAAATACCAGCTTATAAGGAAGACGCAGTTACAGCAGAACAAAGAATTGTAGGATATACATACTTCAAGACTATATTCAGAAATTTTAACATGTCCATTTTCATGCCACGAAAAGACCAATGCAATACATGCATTGCTATCAAAATGGGAACGATTTCACCCGAAAATCACAAAATTCACATGGTTACAAAGACAAAGCAAGAAGTCAAAAGACTGTTGACAAGGAGCGAGCATTGTTAGATGTTCAGTGCTGTTCAGCTTTGTACTCAAAGTGAAGCTAGTGCTCTCTATTATCGCATCAAATTACAAGTGCATAATTTCACTTTGCATAATATGAATACAAATGATGGCTACTGTTACGTATGGGACGAAACAGATGGCAAATTAACAAGTGGGTGTTTGTGTATCTTCAATACAGCATTTTAAGCAGTTGATAGCATCGTCTGAAAACAAAAGAAATTGTAATATGGTCAGATGGTTGCGGCTACCAAAATAAAAACTGTAATCTTGCGAACGCATATCTCCGTTTATCTAAGGAAACCGGTGTCGTGATTTTCCAAAATTATTTAGTACCTGGTCACACCAACATGGAATGTGTCATCGAAATGAAATGAAATGAAATGCATTAAGGAGAATCAGCACCAAACGGGCTATATAGCTCCAGAACATAGTGTCATGGAGAGGAATCTAGTCGCTGACATCTTCACACCACATGATCTAGTAATAGTTATGCAAACTGCTCGTCGGAACCCACGCCCATACATTGTCAAGCAAATGGAATATACAGATTTCAAGCAAATGAGTGACTTTTATTTTAATTCCATAAGACCTACAAAAAAGGTTGGTGATTCAACGGTAAGCATGATAAGCATGTCGATGTATGGTCCAGATGGTTCGGTGATGTATAAATTGAGAAATGATGATGATGTTGATTGGCAACCTTTACCTGTACGAATCAAGACTTTTGATGTCCCGATTCCGATTTGATACCACTGTTTGATAGTAAAAAAATCCATCACTAAAAGAAAGTATGATGATCTTCAAATGATGAAAAAGGTTATGCCCAAACACGTCCATCCCTTCTATGATGGACTCATATACGAATGATTCGTGAGGTGCCAAGTACTGTAGAATACTAGAACGTGTGAACATTCAGTTATTTTTAGATTGTTTAATTATTTCCTACTTGAATATTTGTGTTAATTAAAACGAATATCCATCCTCTATGCCTCTTATGCCATCACATTTTAGTCAAAATCAAAATGATCAATATTACACCCAACTTCACTGAATTTATTTCATTACTCATGTTTCAAGATATTTTAATGCCTGCCCCTTTGTAATAATGTATACATGTTTTTATTTTTTTACCTGTAAGTGTTAATCTTTCAATGCCAAGTAGATAGCTCCACAAACTTCAGGAACAATTGATGAGATTGTGTTCTTTGGAATTCTAAAACTCTATTGTAAAGACTGATATGTTTCACCTGTGGGAAATAGGATTAAGTTCATTGAAATTGGTATTAATATTATTGCGATATTAGTATTTTTTTATCTGTCTGTTAATTATAATACAATTATAAGTACATTAATGTTTTCTATAATATTGTGTAATTTTCTTTAAAAAATTGAAAAATGTTCTTAAATATAAGTTGTTCGGTTTTTATTCTATTTCTTACCTGTGGCTACGAATCGCAGTGTAATTGCCAGTCTCTCGCCTGGTGGGATTGCTCTCCTCAAGTGTGTATCTTCCTTTCTAATATATGGATCTATCTTAGCCAGGATTGGATCGAATTCATCCTTGCTCATACGTAGAAAGTTTATGTAACTGTCCATATCTTCGCTCAGCATGATCTAATCTTCTACTGATCCATGGTCTAACCCAAACGCATTTTTTTCGTCGATTTCTTTTCTTCTTTTTAATTATAAGTGCAATGATAACCACACTCAATGCCATTTCCCTATCCATGTTGTACTGATGTTCTTGTGTCTACTGGTGCCAGTTGACTGTGACCTAATTTCAGTGCACTGTAGTTACTTGTCTACAGTGTGAACCAAATGACTTCATCGACACATGAAGTGACAACTTTAAAGCCATGACTTGAAAAGTGTGTGTAGTTGGGTATGGCATAGTTTTCCCATATTTCAACATAATTTATCCAAGGCATGGTTGTATTCTCCCTTGATGTAAATTAAAAGCCTGTAGAGACAAGCCCGATAAATAAAGATTTAGTTGAATACGGTTTTGAACTTTAAAATACCCACAGCCAGCTCAATCCCTCGGTATTCACGGCCAGAGACAGTCTCCCTGGCGGATTGTACACAATGGATACGGTACCACTTTGCGCCCAAAAATCCACACCTGCTATCGTCGTTTAAGGACACCGGGATTTTAATTATTAAGTTCATGGTACAAGAATGATTAGAAAACAGCTCGAGGATGATCGTTAAATTTGACAGATGACAAACATAAAGTCAGATTTCATTTATTTTGAAATTATTACTTTATTATTCTGAAAGTGCACTGTATTAAGCAGTGAAATTACTATTACATGTAGGAAACATGGCTTACACATTTAGTTACATTGAATGAAACAGGTTAAATCTTTTTCAGAATATTATTTACTATAATTGAAATTTTCATTGAAAATAAAAACAATACAATAAAAACCGCCTTTCCTCGTCTATATTTTAAGATGGATTGTATGAGAACCAAGATATTAATTTTGTCTGGGCTAAAGATTAATACAGCTTAGATTTATTTAAGTACAAAGGGAGGCAAATCCATTGTTACTATACTTAACTCTAAGGGCGTTTCCTAGCGTCACTTCGTCTCGGGTTTTCAACGAAATTGGGAAATGCAGATTCAGTAAGAGCATTATGGTCGTTTATTCAGACACTTGGCAATAAGCACGATCCAATATTTTGTAAAGGGGATTTTTTTAATTGATAGTCACGAATTCACATCCACACTGTATTCATGTTTAATGGTAACGGATTAAGCTTATACACGTATAAAGCTCATAGCTTTCAAATTGGCGCTGCCACCACAGAACCCTCCCAAGCCTACACTGATTCTCACATGCAACAGATGGGTCGCTGGAAATCTAGCGCCTATGCAAAAATATATATAGACACCCATTAGCTTCCTCTAAGGCGATCTTCATCAGTTATTCGCCACTTAGTATAATATCTTAAGTATATGTACTGAAAATCACGACGATATAGATTGACTTATAAAATATCACATTACTTAATATAGGCACCATATGAATCGTTCAATTATAGTTGATTAAATTTCTAAGTATTAACAGAGTACAACTGTATTTTGCAATTCAATTTGATTCAGTATAGATATTTTCATAATGAAACCTTCGTTTTGACATCATATCTAGGTGCTGAAATCGCAGTTGTCATCGGTGGTTTATGTTATTCTTTCTCCTATATTTTATATAGCTTTTGCTGTTATCATCCACTTTTACTTCGTTATACTAATAACCTAAATGTTATTGACGAAGCTTAAGATCAGTTGTATTCCATGCCCGTAGTTACCTCCCTTGACATAACAATCGAAACAATAACCTACATTTGGTTTCCTGTTAAAATGCTATCCCACTTTACTAGTATTATGATTTAAATTGTAAAAATAAACACATATATACTGAAACATTTACCATTTGTCCTGATTTCAGTGCATAAATGAAATGCTGGCAAGAATTAGCTTGTTTTTATTAGTTACCTCCCTTGAAGTGAATTGTCGAGAAGATTACACATTCTTAAAAGTTACTTGTCAAGGTATCAGGACGTGTCATAAGCTCAATAATCACTAAAAACGATAAAAAAAAAAAGGTTAAGAAAAGTTTAGAAAAATGTACTAACCAATTATTTGTCAAAATTAGGGTATTTCACTCCAATAAAACCTTGATTAATTCAGTATTACTTTGTCATTGAACCAAACCTTATATAACTAAGGGAAATTAGCCGAGGCTTAGAATCTGCAAAAGAAATCCAATTTATCACAAAACCTTTCAGAACATAGACTCAATTTGTTAGAAAGTAAGCCATTTTGTTTTTGGACTACTTTTTTTAAGAATGAGTATGATAGCTTTTACCTGCAATTGGCTTTCAAATACTCTTAGAACTGTCCATCTATGCGATTATTTTTATCGACTATCAAATGAATTTTAAGTGATTTTAACATGTTTTTAACTTTCTATTTAGTTTCATTCTTAAAACAAAAATTTGAATCCAATTCAAGCCAATGGTCCGAATGATCGACCCTTTACAATGAAGACACAACACATCTTAAGTTGTATGAATCACACAGCACATCTTCTTTCTCCAAAAGGAGTAATGTGTCTACTCACACATGCATATTATGCATCAATAAATTTGACCGAATCCTCTTTGAAATCCTGCACTAGATGGTTGATGGAATATGTTTCATCTTCTGAATGGTAATAAATGTCAGCATCAGGGTTACCATCAAGACCAGAGGTAACATCTAAAACACTGCCACGGTACCATTTGCAATTGTCTACAAATAATATATAAAGAAAAACAAATTGTTTTGTTTAACCAGGTAAAATATAAGATGTACTGTATGAAATATAGAAATTGTCTTTTATGCCATCTAATAGACACTACTTGTAGCATCCAGAGAAATAAATGAAATGCTCAATTTACCTGATGACTCATAAACTATCCACCTGTGGGAAATTTCCCGACCCACAAAACGTTGCCTTGTTGGTAGATCTGGAGGTAGTTTGGTGCCACTACAACTAGGCTTACAACGTCCTTGTTTTGGTTTGGCATCCTTCTGTAAATACTGTTAAATAATTTTAGAATATAAGAATCAGAAAATCTCAATTATTAATAGCTAAGATGTCATTGTCATTATTGTTAATGTATTTTATTATCAATAAGACTTACCTGGTCATTTCTTACATTCCATTTGTTTCTATAAGTATACTGGGATGGGCCAAAAAACAACAGTGAAGTTAAATTTAATTGTTAACAGTTGAAAAAAAATATATATATTACTTACGCAGACACCAGGTTCTCTGATGCTAGGACTTCTCCCATATCTTTGTGCACACAGTTCAGGTAGTTGACAAGCGTAGTAGAATGCTGTCAGCTTTGGTAACATCTTATTCACCCACAAGTTCAATAACTATTATTAAAATATGGAGCTGATGTGGAGATTTTGCTGCCTCCGAGAATGTCAACTGTTTGTTCATGAGAACATGATGACACAATTCTGTGCTTGCAGCAAGAAATGGATGACTGTGAAGAATCTGTAAGCCTGTATGCTTTACTGTAACGGGGTCACCATCTGTAGCTTTCTTTGCACAAAACTGTTACCTTCACTGCAGCTAATCCAATCTTCGTAAACCTGTTTCCTTTGAAAGTGGAATATAGTAACCTCTTGATGAATCGTGTAACTGCGATTTCCAGAGTCCGTGCCATTATGTCTCCAAAGTTAGATGAAGTAAGTCTTTTCCGTCTTTCATCATGCCATATGTCTGAATCCTGGGAGATGGTTGCTTCAAAAACTTCTTCACCCGCTCTTTGAACAGCTGTACGAAATCTTTGTTAAATTTCGCTTTCAAAATTGAAAGCTGGTGAGAAGAATGATCAGCAACAACCTCGATGGCATCTGGACCATATTCCTGTCTAGCTTTTATGGAATCGCTTTGTTTTCTCCCAGTCATCCGTCTTTTCCAGCGATTTGCTTTGTACACAGGTCGAGCACTAAGTTGGAGATGCTTCTCTCTGTTATCATACTAACATCGAAAGGAACTGGTTGGTTCTGTGTGCGTCACCTTTTTCCAAACCATAGGTGACCACTTGGTTCCCAAATCTTGCCAAGACCCTCATGAGCATCTGTTGAAAAAATTTTCCACCATCAAACTTGGCACGAATATTCATCCAGACCTCAGTTAGATTTGTGGTGAAGTTACCAAGTAATCTTTCAGCTTTGGATGCAATGCGGTTCAATAGTGGGCAAACTTCGAATATGTTAGCTGCAGACAATCTTCTTCTTGGTACCGCTAAGCTGGAATCTTGCTGATCTTTCAAAAAAGTACCATCAGTCTAAAAGTCTTGCTGGTCTCCCATAACTGATATAACGGATTCAGATTATTCATCTTCACAGGTTGAGGTAGGATTATTTTCTGTACTTGGAATTGCGGTTTGTGGCGGAAGTCAGAACACCTGGTATGGTCGCCAAAAACATGTTAAATGCAGTTCTTAATGCCATGAATTAATTTCTTGCAAGCCAAGGATCGGTTTTCTTCAGAAGGAAGGTCAACTTTCCTCTTATTTTAGTTTTGGTAGTATGTCAACCAGTTTTTCCAATCTTCTGAGGCATTTACATGTATGATTTGCACATTCCAGCTTAGTTACATGAGGACCCCAAATTGGTACTGTCTCCTGTATTCGTGCATATACAGAACTATCACCATCTGCAACAAGGCGCATGTAGCGAACACCATAATCTTTCTCAGCATTCATAAAGCCTTCCACAAAAATATCTGCCTCCATAGCTTGAATCGACTCATCCCAATTCTTAAAACACTGATGTTGCTCGGGATCTTTTTTCGGCTCTCTGCTAAGGAACATGTGTAGCAGTATTTGTTCCGAATGCCAATATGGGGCAGCTTTCGGGCCACTTGTCCAATTATGATGCCAACACCTCCAAGAGTGCTTATGGCTCCTCTTGCTCCATCCACCATCACATATAACTGTCACAGCGGCTAGCCTTTTTTCCTAGTTGGTGTTGAAACAGTTGACCACACCACTGACATCCAGATTGTATGATTGAAGCCAACCGTTTACAATGTCTCTAGAAGGTCGATTAAATTTCCGAAAAACCAATACACAAATGTCTATCCCTACATTAATAGAATTTTTTTACGGCATTAAAAAAAAAGTGATAGATCCCTGTCCAAAATCGTTTCAACAAAGCATTCAAGTAGATGGCATAAAAAAAATAATTATATTGATACTATGTTGACACTTATTATTTGGATAGCAAACCATAACATAATGGTCACGTGATGTTTTTTTCGGGTAATAGGGTGCTATTTTCGGAAATCATCCTTTATCTGTATATATTGATAATCAAATTGACAAATATTTTTTTTTGTATGGAACCAAACAACAGAACAGTAAAAATTAAACAATTTGCATTCAGGAGTCCTGTGGAGGCAAAATTATGCAGACGATGAATGTTGCAACTCTTCTAACGTAAAGTAATACGGATGTCCTGGACACTCTGTAGGATGTTGTTGTGGCCCCTTCCAAGTACATAATTATCTTTGCTTGTCTAGTACGTTCTTGATCTTTTTCATAAATAAGCCAGCGCCGAGGAGTAGTTTGTTGTAGTCTGAAGTGGTCAGAATCTCGATAATTCTCACAAGAACAAACTGGCAATGGATGGAAACAACAGTGGCAACCTTCCCACTTCTGAACGGCTTTGCAATAGTGGTCTGCAATTTCTCCACCAAAATATATCTGAACATGAACAAGAGTTATTTATTGTTGGGTTTATTACCTTCAGCGCATCTATGGCCACTGCACATTGCCAGATCAACAGGGGGTGGTGCATCTTCATGACTTCAGAAACAGATCTTAACAAATCTTTTCTTTGGGAATTTCAATCCGCCAAAATTTTTTTCCCAAAGCCGGATTTTTTGAAACTTTGTTCTGGGGTCTGTTTGTACTTTCAAATAAAACAAAAACCAATATAAATATAAAGATAAATGCGGATTCGTCTACCAGGGTAACATTCCAAAGTTTCACCATAGTCGAGCATGAGTAAAATCAAGGGCTCCTTGCTGCAAAGCTAGTGAATTTAGATTTCAAGCGTTGAACACTATCTGTGTAACGTATAGTATAGACTTCCCTCACTTTTTGTTAACATTTTCTTACTGTTATTTATAACATATTTATAATAAAATCCATACAGATATAAGGTTTAACAAAACATTTTCCATCCAAAAACTCTTGGCAGATGACTACAATGTAGTCTCCATGAATCCGATGCCAACCTAAAAAAAAAGAACCAAATACAGATTTGAGCAGATATTCCAAGTCATAAAGAGACAAAAGGCGATTTTAAAACCAGAGGTGAGACAGTAAAATGCTCATTTAAATTTCAGTTACTTGTATCGAAAAATCGGTCAGTGTCTTGACCTTTTGAAAGCTTGCCAACTCATCCAGTTGTTAAAGTGTGCCAACACGATTTCTTTTAATGAGTTTGCAAACTGCCAGATCAGCATGAGGATGGTGTATCTTCATGACTTCAGAAACATTACTATGATCTAAAACATTCTTTTGGAAATTTTGTTCCCAGGTCAGACGTCAGATGAGAAAATTCTGATTTTCCAGTCAATAGGAGTGCCTTTTTGAATGTCAATCCGCCAAAATGTTTTTTCCCAAAGCCGGATTTTTTGAAACTTTTTCCTGGGAAGTCTATTGGGTCTATTTGTACTTTCAAATAAAACAAAAATTATTACTTTGGGAATTATTTCCCCAGGTCGGAATAAATGCGATTTTAAAACCACTGAGGTGGGACAGTAAAATGCTAATTTAAATTCCAGTTACTTGTATCGACAACTCAGTAAGTGTCGTGAACTTTTGAAAGCTTGCCAACTCATTCAGTTGTTGTGTGCCAACACGATTTCTCTTAATGAGTTTGATCCAATCCAAATTGGAGGTTTTTTAGAGGTGTAATTGGTTAAGCAGTCATATCCTCAATTCTTTCCTACATTAAATTCCATTTGTTTGGACCCTGGTGTGTAAGTATAACATTCCCCATCATGGATTTTCAGCATAGACGTGGATTCACGAAGAAAGGTTTCAGTTTTTTTTCTCAAGCACACTTGTTAACATACATCCATTTGTATCTGCAAATCTTGGTAAACACTAGAGATTTAAATGTTTGAACAAATGTTCTTCCTTTAGCTACACAAATACTGCAGCATTTAGCAGTGAGATTGATAGCAGTAAAATATCTAAACATCTTAATAATTCATGTCAATATCATTTTCCTCCTTTTTATTGAACTGGTTCTAAAAATTGATCCAATAAAACTGAACACAAATGATGATGCCATTTTTTAGATACTACTTTATGTTATGAATCATTATTTTTTATTATAAAAAGATATTGTATTAATAATAAACACAGGATAATTGTCTAGCCTAACGTCTAGTGACCTTACTTAAGATTTTAAGCGTTGAACACTATCTGTTTTGGATTTTTCCCGGTCCTTGATTTATTGGTCTTTTCAGCTTAAACATCGGTGGCTGAGAGTCCGTTTCCTCAGCCTAGAATATGAAAATACATGTATAAATTGGATTATATAAATATTAAGACCCTTACAATGCACTCATATCCATAGTTTAAACTACCGACCGAATTTAACAAATACAATCGTACCGAGACCATAGCTGCGACCAAACTCATTATCAAAGCACATTGCTTCGTGTATTGCAAGTCGACAATTATGTAGATTGACATCACGTCCATTTGTACCACATCATCTAATGTGTCCTCTGACAGCAAGTTATAAATTCCTACAACGGTATTCCTACATATGGTATAGAATTTCCTCTGCAAAGACTTCCTTACTGTCACTTCATAAAGTATTTATAAATACATGTATGACTGACGTAAAGATCCCAGAATCCCTAACAATATCGATATAGAATGGACTATGTAGTAGGCTGGTGTTTCGTAATATGAAGCAGATAATTTGTCGTCTCTGATCTGCTCATATGCAGTCGCCGCAGTCCTCCAGACTTACAATATTTTAGAGCCAAAACATATATTATTAATATAGTAATTAAAATTCCGAGACCAATAAGAACTAATTTCCAGAGAGACCATGTTTTTCATTTTTCATTCGTTGTAAATTTTTCATCTCATATGTAACACATAAGACTATTGTTGGTATGAAAGGTTTATTGGCATGGTAATGGTTGATTAAAACATAGAATACATAAATTAACTTGGCCGTGTGGTGTAAAGGTAAACCACCTCCTTGGTTGTTGAGCTGGAACCTCGTCTATTCAAAGGGGTCTCCTGGTTTTATTAAGCTTCAGGGATAATCCTGGTTTCTTATTGGTCAACACGTAAGCGTCCCTAATCTAGGAACCTGATTGGATGATAAGACTTATTTGGCCAAAGGACTGACCATGTGACATTGTTGACATAATGTATAATCTTTTATAACAATTACTAGTAACTTAATTAATGAGTTATATCTGGACAAAGAGTTATTGCTGTCAAAGACAAAAGTTGCTCAAGGCTGTGAAATATTACTTAATATGAATCCCTTTGATCTAGGAGCTGTCTAAACAATGACAATGGACATTTAACTTCAAGTGGCTGGAATGTTAATTAATAAGTTTGACACGTATTGTCATTCCTAATGCATTTTGCAACATTCCTTCTATTCTTTACCAATTTAAGCTGCAAAACAGCTTAAATTAATGACTTAAAAATTGGGTTAGACGAGTTGTACAACCACCGATGTAAATATAATATATATATATGTATATAAAAATATAAAAAAAATGTCTATTGAATTGTCTCATTATGAGTTAACGTATATACACAAAATTAAAAATACACAATATCCATAATCGTACTGTCCGTATAAAACACCACATCCATATAATTCCAAATTGAAAAACTGGAACATGAATAAACTCACACAATTCGAATAATAACACATCCTTATAATTCCATATTGAATAACTGGAACATTGTTTAACTGGAACATTGTTTACTGGAACATAAAAACTGAAACATTTGGTAAAATTAACCAATCATAACTGGAACATAAAAACTGAAACATTTGGTAAAATTAACCAATCATAACTGGAACACGAAAACTGGAACATTTGGTAAAATTAACCAATCATAACTGGAACATGAAAACTGGAACATTAAAACTGCAACACTTGGTAAAATTAACCAATCATAACTGGAACATGAAAACTGGAACATTTTAAAACTGGAACATTTAGTAAAATTAACCAATAACATCACGTGGTTAATTGTAGAGTCGAGTAAATATGTTTCACCATTCCTTCTTTTACCATTTCTTCCTCTAGTATTAAAGGTGTAGGGGTAGTGTTCTCCCTGTCTTGCGTATTTCCGCTTACAGTTTTAGCTGACACCCTCTTACGTATGACCTCATACTTAATAGCGTCACCTTCTTTGTTCATGTACCGTTTGGCTGAGTTTTGGAGTTTAGATTTGATACAATAAACGATTAACATTAAAATAAAAGCCACCCCAATGAAACTGCCTATCCCTGTTGACAAAAGATGCCAATGTGCCCATGGTTTGTCCTTAACTGAAACATCATTGAGTTTATGGAGTTGGTTAATAAGAGATTTGATTGGTACTTTCTTTAGTCCGCGAAGATGGTCCGGTAGAGACGGGATTGAAGTATTTGGCAACGCGGAGCGCAATGGTTTCCATAAATGAATCGTTGATAGTTTAAATTTTTTAGATTTTGAAATGCGTGTTGAGAATGGAAACGACTTTCTCTTTGAAAATAAGGCGAAAGAGTGAGGTGTGCATTTGAAGCTGAACAGGTCATGTTGAGTTTGATTAATTCAAGAGGGGGATGGGCAGTAATTTGATTATTAGAGTAGTGTTTGTTATAACAAACCAAGGTAAAGTGGATGGACTCATGTGAACTAATAGCCCAGATACCGTCCATTAAATAAGTGGCCATAGGAAAAACTGATTTGGTCTGAATATTAACTTTGCCTACTTGTTTGGACAATTTCTGATTTTTCATGAACAGGGCCGTAATACATAATTTACTCAAATTTATCGGGTAAAGGGGACTATGGATAGAACAGAAATGGATGATTGCATGAGAACAACGGTCAACCTCGCTGGGTTGTAAAAGAGCGAATTGAGTGCGTTCAGCGTTAACTGCCAGATATTCACTTTCAAGTTCATGAACTGCTACCATTGTTTGAAGATCATGCGTGTCGTTTATTATACGTTTAGAAGTAAACGGCACGGGTAAATTATGGGCTTGAAAAATTTCTAGTTTCCTATTTGAATCTAGTAAGGGTAAATTAAAAATGATTAATAAGGTGTCGCTTGATAACACAGCAGAACACGTTAAAAATTTATAATATTTCCAAAGATGGTCATCTGGGTCAACAGGTAAATGGACTGAAGTAGGTAAGTGTCCATTAATCGTACCTAACAAGGATTTAAGATCCGAAGGAGAAATAGTACTTGGAGAAATGTGTCCGAGAGATAGCATATTTAATTGGAGATTAAGGTGATCGAAATATTTTAATCCTTGAAATATGATATTTTGTAATTCTTTTATGATGAAGTTAATTTTAGAGGTTAATTGTAGAAATCCCTTAACTTTATTTACTTCTTTGGTAACGTCAGTTAAAAGTTGAGTAACTTGAGGTTCAAAAGCCTTTAAGTTGTAAACTAATGCGTTAATTGATACTCTATTCTTTGCAATTTCAATTCGAGAAGTATTTAAAATAGATAGACTTTTATCGAGAACATGAATAATATCCGTTTGTTTCGCAGCTAATTTATCAATATTAGTATTAATGACTTTTAAATCTGATGTAGAAACTGTACCGAAGAGAAAACTCAAAGCTTTGCCTACAATGGGAAGAAGAGCTCTACGTGGACGTTTTTTCTTTAACAAGGTGAACTGCGAAGCGCGAAGCATCAACTCATTATATTGGTTGTGGACAATGCGGGTCTGTTGTAAATTATTCGATAACAATTTATCAAAGAAGATATCATTTGTTTTAGAAGAATAATTATTAATAACTGTATATAACGAGGTAAAAGCGTGCGTCGCGTCTAACTTAAGGGAGGAGATGAAATTTTGGGAGGGTTTCAAATCAATGACAAATGTTACGAGCCAACGGGATCGTGACATACTAAACTCACTAATAGGTCTAAATATGACATTTTCATAAATATGAAAACTGCCGCTCAGGCCAAACAGTACAGAAGCTATCAGAAGTAGGTTAGCGGCATGGCTATGTTATCGCACCTGAAAAGACATAAACATACTACTTTTACGAAATAATTTTTTTAGTGTCATATACGATCTTATTTTTGAAAGGAAATACATATCAAATTACATATATTATGTATAATAGTAACATTTCTGCAATAAATTCCACTACGAAACAATTTGTCAACAACGAAATCACAACTATCGTTTCGCAGTTGACATATTTGCAGAAAAGGGCGGGAGATTCAGCCACTATCACAACTTACAGAATTTTTTCATATGCTTTGATGAAAGCAACCAATTAGGTTTCAAATCAGAAAATTCTGTGAAATTTTAGCAAGTGCATGTATGTCAGAATCACTGTTACCAAGTGGACAAGTACAAAAATATTTGGTATCTTAACTTACCAAATTTCGAAATTCTTCTTCAAAGGTTTATGCTCACTTCCAAGATGCTGCCATTTTGTTACAAGGATGTAGTGTAAGTAGCAAGACACTTCCTAGGAAACAAGGGATGTAACTCACCTTGACTGCCAGCAAAAAAAGAAAATCGTTTCGTAGTTGACAAATTTTTAGGGACAACTACAAAATGCTATTTTACATGAATTATTATATATAAACTGATCAACTAGTTTATGGAAATTAATCTTGAGTATGTTGTTATGATTAGAAATTATATATTGTTTACTTTGGAATCCAAAATTTTATCAAATTCAAAGTCTGTTTTACCTTTACTTGTATTAGGGACATGCAAAATATGGCAATTCCGACCATTCAAATTAATTTTGTTCAATGATAACGATGGACAGCTTTTGCTTCCTACTTTATTTTGTACATTGACACATAATATACTTCTCCCACTAAAATTGACTTGTTTATTTAAACATAAATTCACAAAATCTTTTCAGGACAAGAATTTTCGCTTTTATTGAAAAATGCCCATATGGTTTGTTAGGGTCTGGGTAGATTAACAGAGGTATAGAGGTAAGATGATCTTTTAATTTCTGAAACGCTAAACTACGTGCCGCATTCCATTCGAATTTAACATGTTTTCTCGTTAGGTTGATTAAGGGTTCCGCGATTTTTGAAAAATTTGGAATGAACCGGCGATAATATCCACACATCCCAATGAAACTGCGAATATCTTTAACTGTGCGTGGTTCCTGCAAGTCATTTATCGCACGGACTTTTTCGGGGTCGGGCTTGATACCGTTTGGAGTAATGATGAATCCGAGATAGTTTGTTTCCTTTTGGAGGAAGTTACATTTCGACAATTTTAATTTTAGGTTATGCTCTCGAAGGCGATTAAAAACTTGGTTTATATGAGAAAGATGTTCTTCTAAAGAAGAAGAAAAAATTAAAATATCATCAAGATAAGCTATTGCGAAAGCGTTGAGGTCTTGAAGAACGACCTGCATTAAATTCTGGAAAAAACCTGGAGCGTTAGCAATTCCAAAAGGCATTGTGTTAAATTCAAATAATCCACGGTGACAAGTAAACGCGGTCTTTTCGCGATCGTTTTCATCCATAAGGATTTGCCAATAACCCGATTTTATATCCAATGTGGAAAAATAAGATTTATTATGGAGCTGGGAGAGAATGTCTTCAATCAAAGGTAGCGGGTAGGAGTTGGGTTTAGTGATTTGATTGAGTTTCCGGAAATCGACACAGAAACGTTTGGAACCGTCTTTTTTTCCTACGATGACAACTGGAAAACTCCATGGCGATTGAGATGGGCGTATGACATTTGCCTCGAGCATCTCGTCAATGGCGGTATCGACAGTGGCTCGCTGGTTAATTGGGGTTCGATATGGTCGCATTTTAATCGGTGGATGAGAACCAGTATTGATTTGCATTTTGACAGTCTCCGTTTGAGTTAAATCTAAATCCGTTTTTGCAAATAAGTCGTCATTGTTTGAAAGAAAATCTTGCATGGTGGAGCGATGTTCCTCGGGGACATTAATGTGATCAAAATTATTATTTGGGGTTGACTGGTGATCCATAGAGGAGATTTCATTTATGGACTTAACACAACCGGATTCAACATTTTCGACACGACCTACTTTACATCCTTTACGCAAATAAAAGGGTCGATTAGTGGTATTAGTTAAAGCGAGCCAGTTCGTCTAAAGGAAAATTCTCAATGTTTTCTAATTTAGGGGGTAATTTTGTTAATTTATAATTTTGAAATTGATCGACAAAAGGTTTCCAAAGATCAGTCATTGATTGATTAAATGCTGATGTTAATTTTTCAAAAGAAGTTGGATCAAAGTAAGTACTCTCATTCGAGTAATGGGCTGGTAGTTCTAAATAATCATTCTGAGCTTTACACGTAGGCGATAACTGAGTAGATTGAATTGGCGGCCGCACTGTGACATAATTGTGAAATTTTCTCTTTATTATTTGTGAATAAAACTACAATGCATAATTGCGATAAATTAATGGGGTAGATCGGACTACGTATTTGACAAAATCCAATTAATGGGTCAGAACATCTATTACAAAGTAGTATGCTTTTTTGCTGTGATCGTCTGTATTCTATTCCGTGACTAATAGATTCAAAGTACTTTCGATGGTTATAATAATTTATTTACTTCACGTTGTGTATTAAAATTCACAAGGAAACATAAGAGATACGAGGTGAGTTAGCAGCCAATATATTATGGTCCAAAGTCAAGGTGAAAATTAAACTAGTAGATTCCAAAATAGCTAGTTTTGTCTGAGAGCCACAGTTTCCAAGTGAACACTGCTCTCTAAGGACCAGTCAAGGTATATTTATATTATTGGCTGCAAACGTCATGTCGATAGGTGTGATATCCCAAAATTATATTAATATAGATACTTAAATTTGAAACCTTTCATATTTTCAATGTCCTGCTGTGTTTAAGCCGACACTAAAAATATGAACTATTATATATACTAGTAATATATGTGGTCCACTAAATTCCAAGTATGGTTTATTAACTTTTGATCCTTTTTATGACCACACCAAAAATATTAGGGACCACAACAAAATACTAGGTTAATAAGTGGGCGAAGCACGGGCTGATCCTGTAGAGGGGTATTTTGTTACATTCCTCCCCATGCTATTTGGTCATAAAAATCATATGCTAATCGTAAAATAAAAACAGGTATGCTACAAGTATCGAAAATTCCCCCTAATCCCAGGGCTCTAAACGATCTTCACACCTATCGACCCTCCAATACAACAAAATCAACAATAAGAAATTAAAAACACACATTACAAAAGTAATTCATCAAGGATAAGAGAGTTTTGAAAAGAACAAGGCTTCATAGCCAAAGTTTATATATAGGTCACTGTAAATGTATCCACCAATGGAATATCCACCAATTAAAATATATCCACCAATTAAAATATATCCACCAATTAAAATATATCCACCAATTAAAATGTTTCCACCAATTAAAAATATATATCTTATCTACCATTAAATCATTACCATATCCACGTAACCATTAGCCTACAAATACTTGCTCAAAACAAAAGTTAATTAATTATCTTCCCGGGTCGTCATTGTTTTGACCTTGGGGTTGACTCAACCGGAGTAATCGGTCATATAGTAATTGACCTTGAGGTGGAAATCTAGGTTGACTTGTCGGTTCTGGAATGGCCGGGTATATGTTTTCGTTTTCTGGCAAAAGTGGTGCACTTGCGAAAGCAGGTTCAGAGGCAATGTTGTTGTTGTTGATTGGAGTCATTTCCAATTCAGTAGGCGCTTCATTCTCCTTCTCAGGAGTTGCTCTACTGCGTAGGATGGACCGAACCCCCCGTCGCAAGATTCCAGTCTTGACATACCTTATGACTAGAAAATGGACAACTAACACTGTCGCTACTATGCCAATGCCAAAGAGAATTAATTGCCAAAGATGCCAATCATGGGACTTATCGTTTTTAATTTGCTGCAAGTGTCTAATTTCGTATGTTAGCTCATTTAGAGGAATTTTCTCAATATTTTGTAATTTTGGAGGTAACTCTGTAAGAGTATAATTTTGAAATTGATCCACGAATGGTTTCCAAATATCAAGCATTGACTCATTAAAAGCCAATGTTAAACTATCAAATGATGTGGTATCAAAATAGGTACTTTCGTTCGAAAAATGAGCCGGAAGTTCCAAATAGTCATTCTGAGCTTTACAAGTGGGTGGAAGTTGAATGGATTGCATGGGTGGTTGCACTATGACGGATCGGTGTAAAAAACTTGTTTGATGACATATAATTGAAAATCGAGTTGGTCTTTGAGAAACGACCATCCAAATACCGTTTGCAATGTATGTTGCCATAGGCAAAATACAATTGGGTTTAATATATACTTTGCACAATTGAGCAATTTTTTTCTTATTTTCCGTAAACAAAACCATCACGCAAAGTTGAGACAAATTGATAGGGTAAATTGGACTTCGAATTTGACAGAATCCAATTAAGGGATTTGAACACATTTTTGCTTCGTCATAATCTAAAATGGCATATTGTGTTCTATCTTTATTAACAGCAATGACGTCGGCTTCAATTCGATAAGAGGCAACCATTTTAAATGTAGCTTTTGATTTTGAAAGTATCATTTTATTTGTCATTGGTAAAGGTAAATTATGAATTTTATAAATTTCGAAAATGCCGTCATGATCCAAAAGAGGAATATTCACTACTACTATTATTTTATTGTCCTCAATAAATGATATGCATGTTAAAATACCGATAATAATGCCAACAAATTTTTCTTTGGACTTTTGGAAGTTTCACACTAGAGATCGGCCCTTAAAAACATTTGTTTGATATCATCTAAAACTAACTTCATTCTTAAGTATAAATGAAGAAAACCTTCTAAATTTACAAGTTTCTTTCGAAATTGCTTAACCGCAGTTTGAATTTTTACATCTAAATTTCGTGAACTGTTTGACAAT